TTTTTTTTTTTTTTCACTGGCCCTTGTGTCACCTGCTGGAGACGTGCATTTCAGGAGAGGCTCTAGGGCTCTTTGCTCCTGCCTTGTGTGGCCTATTGATCTGTGACCCATGACTGGGCTCCCAATCCTCACTGAGACACCAGACCCACTCCCTGGCCCCTAAGGATTCAAATACCAGTATGGCGTGCTTTGCTTTCTAAGTAGTAAAAGTTTTCTTTGCAAGCTTGTCTTAAGAAGATCTGGAAAATAAAACACCTTTCACTTGGTCCATCGTGCACCATGCTATCAAAGTTTATTCTTCTTGCCACTTTACATCTCCCTGTGTATTGAATTGAAATGTCGATTCAGACCACATGTGCACCTTTCTGTTGAGGATACTTACCCACAGTGAGGAGCTCATGGATGTTGTATCACCTCTAACAGGTGCATTAATACGAGAGTCGTTTTAAGGGTGGGAGAAGGACGCTTACAGTGGTATTTGTAGTCCTGCTATAACATGGTTGAATTTGGGTCAGGGTGGAGGAAGGTTGTTATTCTGTATTTGTGAAATCTAGTTTCCAAGCTTCCTCACTTTGAAACCTACACTATTTTAAATTATTGTATTTTAATGAGAATTTTGTGTTTACAACTTTGACATATGTCCTACCCTTAGTGATGGTGTAGAGCATATAGTTTTATCTTCTTTTCCTTACCACCAGGAAGGAATTGTGGTTGCACAGTCATACATATGTAATAGGCAGAAACATTCATTTGGATTATTGGCCTGCCCATGTTGTGTGAAATCTGCTTGAATTTGTTGCTTAATTTAAATTTGTCATTTATTTCAGATGTTCTCTGTTGACAGTTATGTGTGTTTTGAAGAGGTTACGCAATCACTTGAGAGACAAATGCTCCCTCCTCAATGTGAGAATAAACTTTTATGGTGGAATATACACATTTTTAAGAGTGGAGTAAACTTAATCTTTCTTTCCTTGTGCAAACAAATTCCAAGTGTTGCAGTCATTTAAAATGAATGATTATGGGAGGAGGCTTGAATTCTTTTTTTTTTTTTTTTAAATGCAGAAAACTTGCATATTCCTTCAAGGAGTAAACTTAATCCTTCTTTCCTTGTGGAAACAAATTCCAAGTGTTGCAGTCATTTAAAATGAATGATTATGGGAGGAGGCTTGAATTCTTTTTTTTTTTTTTTTTTTTTTTTTTTTTTTTTTTTTTTTTTTTTTTTTTTAAATGCAGAAAACTTGCATATTCCTTCACAGTGTGGGCTGCATCCTAAAACAAATCCTGTCTTCAATTTTTTGCCTGTCTTATATGGACACTGGCCTCCTTTCATGAAGACACTGTGTTGGTGACAAGTGCACCAAAAGTTTTGAGTAAAACCATCATTGTAAAAATTGTAATAATATTTTTCTATATTGCTTTGGAGTCTGATGGTACGTGGGCAGCTCAGTGGCCCTGACAAAGCAAATTATATGCCAATGGTTGCCAGATAAATGTGAGCATCTTTGGTACTAACTTACATGATTTTGTTGTAATTTCTTATTTGAGTCATCCATTTCACTGAAACTTCACTGTAGCAAAAAGCCCTGCCTGAGCCTTTGTGCAACAGTTGGGCAGGGCTTTGGCCCTGGGTCCTTGATTTTTAGAATGGGGGGAAAGGTCCTAAAGAGTACGAAACTTTCACTTGTTTGATCAAACTGGTCCTCACAAAGTGCTGACACTAGTGTCTAGCAGGAAGGTAGATGAAACACGTTAGAAACATATCATAAACGTGAGTATCAAAACTTATTTTGTTTTAAATTTGTATTGATAGGCATTGTAATTAGGAGATAAATAACTTATTAAAGCATTTGATAGTTTTAGTTTTAAAAGAATTTTGAGTTAGCAAACAAGTAAAGAACGGATGAAACATGGCAAATTCAAATTAGAGAATTCCTCAGTTGGGTCCTGTGGTTTTGCTCTGTTGGTGTTTTTTGTGGTAAACATGTACGGTAATAAAAGCGTTCCTAAGAAAATACTCAGATGTCATAGAATATTTAAGTATTCAAATTATTTAATGAGATTTAGATTCCAGTTCTACAATTTCCTTATGTAATAAATTATTTTGTAGGTAGGCATCTTTCTGATGTTTTCGTAAAGATCAGGCTTGTGTAAAGATAACTCCATATACTGTATGTGTATAAACTGTTTCAACAGGTTTCTAATATCAGAAATTTTGGAAGGCTTCCTTGAAAACAACTTCTGTCAGAAGAATGGCATCGTCTTCTCTACAGATTTGTGCATTGCTGCTGGCTTTAGCAGGATTCACCATTATACTTGTTACTACCATGTCTAACAGATGGAAAATTTCGGACACTGCAACAATACTAGTTACTGCAGACTGGATTTCTGAAGGTCTTTGGATGGACTGTGCAGTGACTGCTTTTGGATCAATACAGTGCAAGAAATTTCTCTACATGTTGAGTTCAGACAGTGAGTGCACATGGCATATGTATATAAAATCCAGGGATGTAGTTTTATTCCTTCTTTCCGGACAGCATGTTAGCGCGGCTGGACAGCATATACTGTGGTTGTCACAGAGGGTCTATTATGGACAGGATTTGTCCTGTAGTACTTGCAGACAGGTTAAAGGGCCCCAGTGAAACCCATATGCTTCATCCTGCAATTCAGCTCGGTAACTGCTGTGGCTTTATTGCCATCTCTGTTGTGTTGGCATAGAAGTATGGGTGATAAACAATGAATCTAAATTTTGTTTTGTTTTGTCTTGGAAGAAGTAGTATCCTTTTACGTGGTCCAATTCTTAACTACAAGCAGATCATAGGTCAGTGAGCGCTGGTGCTTGTTTGTGCTTTGGTGTGAGACAGGGCTTTGTAGATACTCCAGAACTTCTTTGATCCTTCGTGCTAAATCTGTGTATTTGTTCTGGAATGTCTTGGAGGTGGCCAGCTTAAAATATGTCTGTGTGACTGATGCTTTTGTGTTTTCTGAGGTAGATCATGCTAGCAGGGTAGTTTATCTGCAAATAGAAAGAGAAGAATTGTCTTTGTAGGGACTGAAAATTATTTGTTTGGATTATTCCGTTTTTTTAAAATATCTTTCTATAAATACCTTTTTTATGGTAAAGGACTAGGAAGGACCGACATTTAAGTTCTTTCCACAGAAAACTGAATGTAGAAACAGTAACAGTATAGCCTTTGAAAACTGGTATTTTGTTAAGCTTTCTGTCTTAAACAGAACTCTGCATTTATTCTTTTACAACTTTCGGTATTGTGCAGTCACTTTATGAGTTATATCATGGGATCATTTCTTCAGGCCTTCCCTGCTTTATAGATCCCTGATTACTGTCATTGCTTTTTGTCTGAACTCTTTCCAGCTGATTTATTCCTGATGTGCAGTGCTCAAAACTTACAAGTACCATGTCTCACAGACTACGAACACTTGCTTTTCTTGACACAGACATGGACTCCACTGAGGTCAGAGCTGCCTAAGTGTAAGGCAGATCTTTAAAATGTGAGAGTTTAACTCTCAAGAGTTAACTCTCAAGATTCAGCATATTTGTGGTTCTTCCTCAGGGCCCTGACTTTGGTGGCCTCATCTGCTTTCATAACAATGGTGCCAGTTTAAGAATAAGTATCAGCATCCTGTAATGAGGCCAGAATTTGTAGCCTCAAAAGGAGGCTAATCGTATCCTTCCAAGGATTTTAAAAACTCTACTCATTGCATCAGAGACAATGTCAGCTTTTCATACCGTTCTGGTACCCAGTATCAGAATGCTTTTCTCTAAGACTTCCTCTATGTAGATACCAGGATGCCTAAGTTTCATCTAGAAACTTAGATATGATTTCTGGAAATTAGAGTGATGAGATGGAGCCAACAATCCTTCTGTTCGCGTATGTAGTAGCAATATGGCACGGATGCTTACGATGGTGTGGCAGCTCTGCCTTGCCTCATGTAACAGGGAGAAACAGATGTTTCAGCCCTGTTATGGAGACAAGCAGAGTCAATGTGGGACAGCCTCCTTTTTTAAAATGCCAGTTTCATTACACCCAACATGGAAAGAAAATATTCCACAGGAACAGAAGAGTTCCTTGTGAACTGAAGCAGTTGCCTCCCTGGGGCTTCTCTTCCCTCCCTTCCCGCGGCCCCCATAATTGGAAGAGAGGACCCCTGGTTGACAGTGCTCGGTGGATCATCTTCAGCTGTCCGAAGAACTGTGTGTCCCCTAAAATCAGCGTGGGGTTCCTCGTGCCAACTGATGGGCACATCATGTGGCTGCCTGGAGAGTAATTGCTGTCTGTCACAGGGCTGTTTCTCTTTCTACACTACTCAGTCAGCATTCCTGGGCCTTGAAACAAATCTACAGAAGTGATCAAAAAGGTACAGCTCATGTTGATCAAACATTTAGGGAGTTAATATTTTCGGTATTTTTTCCCAACTGTATTGGCTGGTCTGATTTTAAAAAATACTATTTCTGCTTGTAAACCCTCTCTCAACGATATTACTTGCAAATATACTCTGTTCTGAGAATATCAGAGGGGTTAGGAGCAATTTCTCTCTATGGCCATATATTGCTATGGTCATATGTGGTCACATCTTGGCATGTCAATGTTAGCATTTTACTTACATCAGGAGTACACTTTTGTAGTGAATTTTCCAATTATTCCCATTTACTGCACTTGGTTTGCATTGCGGAGTGGTCTTGAAGTGCAAATTGGTTTCCTCGTGGCTGGAGCAGAGGAGGGAAATGTGCTCCAGGAATGCACCTGCTGACTTCCAGCCGTTGATGGGTGTTCAGTTCGCCCGACCGGGTTAGAGCAAGTCTGAAGGAAAACTCCCAATTTGTGGATGGTGTTGATGTGAAGCTATCAACACCAACTCTTTTACTCTGCTGATGCAGAGCCTCCTGCAGAGCAGCATTTGCTGTTATGTCCATCGCTTACCAAACCATTGTTTACGAAATTTAGTGAAGAATAACTTATGTTCTTCAACACCACTGAAGAGTGATTTCCTTCAGGGAACGATTAGAATGCTTGGTTCCATACAGGAAAAACTCATGCATTCCAGGTCTGCAGTTTAATCTTTTCTGTTTATATGTGTGCTTTATGACTGCCTGTTGAAATAGCTTTCTTAATTAGGAAGAGGTGTTTTTTTAAAAATGAAATTCTTAAAAAATTTTTTATCCTTGGCAGCAGTATAAAATCTGGGGACACTTGATTCAGGTTCCCAACTAAACTCAACATTGAAAGTGCTGTCAGCAGACGTGAGCGCTGAGGTCACCAGGGTAGCACCTGTGTATGGATAAATTAATTTGAAACTCTTTGAAGGGCTTTTAATGGGATGCAGATACTCCAGTATACTGGTACAGTGTGTTCATTTTACTATGCCATCATTTTTCAAACTGCAGTGACTTAGCAGGAGGAGGGAATTCTGTAAAGGTCACACGAGAAGATCAGTTCTTACCATACACCATCTAGTTTCTTTAAAAGGCTGCAAGTGCAGAGCTGCACAGGATCACACTGGCTGTGCTGCCAAATCTGTTCTTATTTAAATCAATGGCAGTGATCCTCTTGGCTACCAAGGGAGCAAAAATGTCATGGTAGCACTGTAGTATCCTTTTGCAGCTGAGCCTACCAACCTACAGCATCAGCTCAAAGTGACTAGTAAATTAAAAAAAAAAAATCCAGCTATCTGTTATGGGCAAGTTGTGACTCTCTCAACAGCTAATCCTTCTGGTAGTCTTGATGTAAATGCCATGAGTCTATTACCATGTTGCATCATAGCAGGATTATTTTATGAAGAAACTCTGACTCCATTTCCTGGAGATAAGAGCAGGTTATCACTGCAAGAGATGGTTAACCCAGTTTGGTTACACAAGCAGTTTAAGGTATTAACTTTAGTGGATGATGTGAACTGAGTCTAGATTTTGTCTAGTCAAGAGCAGAAGCAAGTAAACCAAGTTTAACATACTTCTACTTTGCCTAGAATGGATTTTTTTTTAATACTAAGATATTCTGACAAACAGATGCTATCAGCTGATACGTATTATTTTTCATATAGCTGTTTTCCTTCATAATTTTATTCCTTTTGAGATAGCTCTGTCACATTGGCTCATTCATTCCCTTATATTTCATTTCTGTGAAACATACATTGTTACAATTGTATTCCAGTGTAAGTGGGACTATTTTTAAGACTGAATGTGTTTAACTGTAGATCAATAGACTGTAAAATATTAATGGAAACCACTCATCCACAGACTTAACCTTCCTGAAAGAAGCTGGCAGTACAGTTGCTATGGATTGCTTATGACCATAACTCAAAAAAATGTGCTGAATTTTCTAGCAACAGAATAAAGTTCCTGTTCTTAAGCTTTTTTGTGCTTGAGTCATCAAGAAAATAACACAGTAAAGCTTTTTGAGATCAATAATAAAATTACAAACAACTTTAATCTTGTGTAAACCCTAGTTGACTTCAGAGGAGAGACAGAAATAAAGTATTTGCCAATATTATCACTCTTACAAGATATTTTGTAGGAATACTGACTGGACTTTCTAGGCTGAGACTAAGAATAGGCTCATTTTGTCACTTCTCATTAAAAAAAGAATTAATATTGTCTTTTTTTAAAAATGTTAGTATCTTTATCATGAACTGCTCCCACTTCTTATTGTCCTGCACTGCAAGCCTTATCTCGGGTTGAGCAAAGAGCAAAGGTAGCCTCATTTTGGAGTGAAACCCAGAGATAAAACAGCAAGGAGGCTTCTGAAAGGCTTCACTTGATTGTAATCCAATTATAGGGATATTTAACTGTTACTATTCACAAGCATGACTGCTGCATTGGAAATTGTTGGGTTTTTTTTGTGCTTGGGTGGGTGGGCAATTATTGGAGCTACTTTGCCGAATAATTACTGGAAAGTCTCCAGTATACATGGTAGTGTGATCACAACATCTACGTTGTTTGAAAACCTGTGGAGGAGCTGTGCAGAAGACAGCACTGGAGTATCCAACTGCAGAGAATTTGACTCTATGCTTGCACTGCCTGGTATGTGCCTTTGCACAGTCTTGTTTATATTGCTTAAAAATTTGTTGGAAAAAAGTAGTAAGGCTTTTGTTTTGGTAATCTGGTAGTACTGGAAAATAACTGGCCAAGAAGGACTTTGTGGGTTGAAGTAATAAGAATCTCTTAAGCAGCAGAATGTGTCAAGGATGTTAGGAAAGGCTATAAATAAGGCAAATGAAGTCGCTTGATCAAGCATTTATTTTAATAGGCATTTTAAATATGGTGTAATGTCTTTTCTAGCATCTTGTGGGAGGAATTAGTAGGAGACATTTTTTAACACATCTTATGACAGTTCCATGTTTATTTGGAATTCTTGTATAGGCCGTCTTTTGCAATACTTGATAGCCAATGTACTGTAGCTGGAGTTTTTTCATATAATAGGTAAGAAATGCTATTTATAGCTAAGAAGTGGTAGTGT